TTTTTTGACATCTAGGGGTATAGTGGTTTGCAATATTCTCCATCTGTTGACAAGTATACCAAAAGCGTTTTCAACAACTCTACGTGCTCGGCTCAATCTATAGTTGTAAATTCTTTTCTCCATTGTGAGACCTCGATTCGGATATGGTTTCAATAAATTTCTTTTTAAGCTGAAGGCATCATCACCTACAATCGCATAAGGGATTTTAGTGTTATAGGATTCTAACTCGCAAGGAGAAGGCAAATTGAGAGAATTGTTATCCATTTTTATGCCTAATAGGCTTGTATGAAAGACGGTTGAATCATGCATACGGCCGTTTCTTCCCACATCAACAAACAAAAATTTATAATCTGCATCGGCAAGAGCTTTTTTTTTTTTTTTTTTTTTGTATAGCGAAGGAAATGCTTTTATGCATCCCAGACCGGTCTTCTGTCTGGGTATGTCGGACTCGATACCGCCCTGGTATAATACCGACTAAAACCTCCGCTTTGCCCCTGCCTCTGGTCCCCACGGAAACCGCCGCTAGGCATTACTTCGTGGGGGGAGGATCTAGAATGTTACAATTCTTAACTTGTTATAAACAATGTTATAATTCATAAACATTTCACTTATCTTTTAAATGGGCGAAGTCCCATTCGCCCTTTCTCTCTCTATAGAACGCAGGTCCATTAAAACGTCTCTCGCAAATCTGTCTATGGCGTTCCAAGCAGCTTCACTTGTCAGCATCACTTCAACAACATTACCTGGGGTAATTGTGCGTCTCAATGTCTCCTCCACATCATCCCGTAGAGCACCAAATCGCGGGCACACGAAGAACACGTGCTCAGCATCTTCGATTTCGCCCAAACAATATGGGCAATCCGGCGAGCTATCGTGCTTGAATCGGTGTAGGTAGGCTCGAAAACAGCCATGCCCCGATAGCATTTGCGTAGTATAATAGTTTACTTCGCCGTGCTTGCGACTTAGCCAGACTTTGATGTTAGGAATGAGACGATGCGTCCATCTGCCCTTTACAGCGACATCCCACAGTCGCTGCCATCGGTCAATGCTGTTCTGCCGTTCTTCTAATCTTAACTTTTCAGGACACAGTTGTTGATGTCTTCTATGGTAAATTGTCCGTCTTTCCTCTGCTAAGACTAAGAGAGGCACAGTTCCTGAAATGACGCACACTGCTTCCGCCGATATTGTGCGAAATGCGCAAGCAATTCTTATAGCACTGAGACGGTATAAGGGCCCTGCTATTCTCCTCGATTTTTGAGATTTAAGAGCATCACCCCATATGGAGATACCATATGTCAGCACTGAAGTAATAACTGACGATAGTAATATCCTTCTGGTTTGTTTAGGACCTCCAATATTAGGCATCAGTCGAGCAAGTTTCGTCCTAACTATTGACGCCTTAGCACTAACGTGTTCCACCTGTTGATTGAAATTCAAACGAGCATCAAGCATTACGCCAAGGTAACAGATGTGAGGTTTTGACGTGATCTCAAGATTTCCTATCTTTAGCTTGATGGTCTCAATTCTTTTCCTACTAGTGATAAGAACAGCTTCACTTTTTTGTTGTGCTAATTGGAGATTCATTGTTCCCATCCACCGATTAATTTTTCTGAATGTAATATCGAATAGGCTTACGATGTCATCAATTTGTTTGGAGACAACCACAATGGCAACATCGTCTGCATATGCTACTAGTTTCACACATTCTGGAAACTCTAGTCTCAAAAGGCCATCATACATAATATTCCACAGCAAAGGGCCTAGAACAGAGCCCTGCGGCACACCTCGTGTTATATTATATTCTTCTGTACCATCGCGTGAATGGTACATTAGAATTCTTTCTGTAAAGTAGCTTGCGACTATATTGCATAGGTATGCTGGCACGTTCTTGTCACGGAGTGCATTCATAATGCAATCCCAGTTTGCAGAATTAAAAGCATTTTTTATATCCAATGTAGCTACAAGGCAGTACTTTTTGGAACCCCCCTTCCATCTGGTTCCAGCAATTGCCTCCTTGGCGGTATTAACTACCAAGTTTATAGCATCGATAGTTGATCGCCCTTTGCGAAAACCATACTGATTGTCTGCTAGGATTGGATCAACTACTGCATCTATTCTTTGGTGAATTATTCTTTCAAAAATTTTACCCGCTGTATCCAGCATGCATATTGGACGATAGGATGATGGTTCATCTGGTGGTTTTTTTCCTTTGGGAATAAGCACTAGTCTTTGCTGTTTCCATTTTCGTGGAAAAACCCCTTCTTTCAGGCATGTGTTATATGCATTAAGAAACATTGTCGGAGATGTCATAATTGATGTTTTCAAGGCAATATTAGGAATTCCATCTAATCCCGGTGCCTTGCTATTACCAACGCGATGACAAGCTTCCATCAGTTCTTGCAGTGTTATAAGTGGAATATTATTCTGTTCTACATGTGTTACCTGGTAGTTCAAATTAGGTTGTCGTGGAAACAAAGTAGTTACTATTTTATTCAATAGTCGTGGGCAAGTTGGTGAAGGTATTGGCTGGCTTTTGAGGCGAGACATTACAGTCTTATAAGGTCTTCCCCATGGATTTTCCTCGACTTCATCCAAAAGTTCTTTCCAGCACCTAACTTTACTATCTTTGATAGCTTTATTTAGTTGTCTACGTGCTTGTTTATATTCCACTACCAGTTGTGCAGAATTACTGAGACTATATCCACGCTGAGAGATCCTTCTTTTCTTTAGGCACTCTTTACGAAGAGAGCTGATTTCTTCAGTCCACCAGTGCACAGATTGTCTTTGATTTATGCCATGTTTACGAGTCATACTGATATCACAGGCTTCGGTTATTCTCTCCATCAGCTCTCTAGTATGCTCATCTGCGTGTTCTGAAATTATAGGTTTGCAATTTAAGGCAACTCTCATGGCGCTTTCATCAAAAGATTTTATTTTCCACCCAATGGCTTTAGATATTTTCGCATGTCTTCTAATGTTTCTATCTGTTGATATTTCCCAGATGATTGCATTGTGGTCACTAGCAGTGTAGATATCTAATACCTCCCAATTGCAAATTCCTCTGACGAGGCTATTGCTAACAAAAGTAAGGTCTATTATTGAGCTTGCACTGCCCTTTTCAAAGGTTGGTTTATCACCACTATTAAGTAAAACCACGTCAAGTGCATTGAAGGCCTCCAAAAGTGCTTTACCTCTTGCATTAGTCTTCCTACTTCCCCAGTCTACCGCCCATGCGTTAAAGTCACCGGCTATCGCTACGGGGTGGTGTCGTTTTGCATCTCCACAAGACGATCTAAAAAATCGACAAAATCTGGCAAAGAAAGACTAGGTGGAGCGTAACAGCTGTATAAATGTATGCCATCTAATGATGCTGCGACAAATCCAGCGTTGCTATTGTTAACAACATTTTGGAAACAAAACTTGCCACAGGACCAAATAACGGCTTTGGTGGTACTGTCCGTTTCCCATGGCCAATCAGTTAGATGTTTGTAAGGTTCTGATAAGAGGGCAACATCAATTTTCATATCTCTTACCGTCTGCATAAGCAAGTCGTGTGCAGCCTCACAATGATTCATGTTTAGCTGTATTATCTTCATGCTTTTGCGTTCATTATTTTCTCTATGGCCTCCCTATATAGAGGACATCTGTGAGTGCCGGCATGATGTGCTACATTTTCAGAGTTTCCATTTTCAGCGCATAGTGCACATTTTGCTGCATTTATACAGTTGGCTATTTTGTGACCTTCTTGTCCACATCTAAAGCATAGATTGGTCCGATTCACTTCGCTCTTGCACTGTGATCCATAATGTCCGAATAGCCAGCATTTAAAACATCGAATTGGTTTCTTGATGATTTTAATTTGACAGTTGACCCATCCAATTCGTATTTTGCTACTTGCTTTGAGCAGATCGTGTACAACTGCCGCTGGAAGAGCTACAGTAGCAATCTGGGTACCTCTATATGCCTTACGAAGCCTAATTTCTTCTGCTGGTGTGTTGCAGGCTCCCCCGGTTGCTTTTTGTAGTGCTATCTGGATATCAATTTTTGAGGTTTCATCATCAATATCCCTTATTTCTATAGTTTCTTGGTGCCCCTTATAAATAACTTCGGCCTCATCCTTTAACACACTTGCGATAATCTGTTGCAGTCCTTGGCCTTTGTCCTCACTTTTCTTAGAAATAGTTATCAACAAGTCTCCATTTCTGGTTTTGTTTATTTTCTCTACTGTCGTATTTACCTTGTCATCAGGGACATCATGTTTGATGCGACGTAATATTTCGGAATAATTAACTTTTTCGGTCGGCCGGATTAATAAGGCATTTGGTTTTGGAAAAATTCTATGATTTTTTATCATTTTATGGTTAGAGTCCTGTTCTGACAGATGTACCCTTGCTTCCTTTTTTTTCTGTTTTCTCGGCTGAACTTTATGCCAGTCATTTACCTCGATTCTTTCTTCATTACATATTTCTATGATCGTCTGACGTCTTGGCAAACCATTTTTCTCATTAACCTGATTATTGCTTATATGTTGTGAGTTTCGGTTTCTTGTGGCTTTGCTTGTGTCCTGCCGTACACTTTTTTCTATAGGGGCTGTCTCACAACATTGCACTTCATTTATCATAACTTCCGTATCATCCGTGGTTCGGCCTTTTTCCTCTAACAATTGGTTGTCTAAATCAATAAATCTTTTAATTACGGCCGCTATGTTGCCTGTTTTTATTTTCACCTCTTTATGTATGTTTGACTTCGATTTGACAATCATATGCAGTTCATTTATCAGATTCTCAAGGCACTTCAATGACTCATTCCGTTGTAAAATGACATTTTCCGGAATTATATGTGACAGTTCAGCCACTGGTTCTACTTTACTAGTCATACCGTCGCATGAGCTGGTCAGCGGGTTTCGGGCTATATCTGATATACCTGAACATAGCGTTGTGTTCAAATTATTGTGTGATTTATTGATTGCATCACCAGCATTGTTTGACACTATGTCCCCACTAATGGGGATCATTTTAACAAAAATTCTACCTGCACCCAGAGGCGAGGATCACTCAGCTCACTAACTTATTAGTAACTTATTAAAACTGATGGAACTAATTATAAATTTTGTACGACAAAATAACATCGGCAAGAGCTAAAAGTACTATACTGTCATATCCTTTATAATTTCTGAATTTCGAACCATCACTTCGTGATGGACGAAATCTGATATGCTTTCCATCCAATGCCCCTATGCAATGAGGAAAATTCCATGTTGTCTCAAATTTGTGGGCAACAGCTTCCCATTCTTGTGCTGAAGATGGAAATTTTATAAAGTTATCTTGAAGAACGGTTATAATTGCTTCAAGAGTTTCTCTCACGATTTGGGATATGGTATTAGGTGCAACACGAGTTGAATAACTTATGTCTCTAAATGAATTTCCTGTTGCCAAGTATCGAATTGTAATACAAAGCCTGTCTCTCTGTGATATAGCTTGCCTCATAACTGTATCCTCTTTCTTTATATATGGTGTTACCATTTCCAACAAATCATTCCCAATACCATTTTCCATTCGCGTGTAATTTGAGAAACTGGCCGGATCTTCTGCACTAAAAACATTAAATATAACAATAACATTACGTTTTATCAACTTTCACTAATTAAAATTAACTCACTCTAGTTCATTAAAAACCATATTTAAGGAAGTCGTTTGCTGATCACGCCGCAGCAACCAAGAACGACTCCATAGCCGTTTACGTCTTTCCTTTTCTTCCTTTTTTTTTAAAATTATTAAAGAACTGACAAGAACTGCAGTCCTTTCGACACGATCGTTGTCAGACATTTTGACATTTGAGGTTATAGCGCATGCAATAATTTAGACATATATGTTACAGCATGAAATTCAGGCGCTAAATTCTTGCGCGCCAGAATTTAAATTACAGACAGAAATTATATTTTTAGAAATACTGGCGTCGTGTGCACCGGGCTTAACTTTCGTAATATACCGCAGGATTGCGTTGCCTAGAGAAATATTCTTTTTACAGGCTTAGATGTTATGCTTTCAGAATTTATTTTCATTATTTTTTTTATATTTATCAATTTCACATAATTTGCTAATAATCAAAATTCATTTACTAATAATCTTTATTTAATTGAATCTTTTTGGGGCAATCAAGTGCACAATCAAGTATAAAAGTTTCATAAAATCTAATTTGGAGCACATTAGAATTAATATCAGCTTATACGAATTTAACATGTAGTGATATGAAAAACAATATTTTTGCTTAACATATATTCAGACACAGTGCCAATTACAGCGACTTTTTGCATAGATTTTTTGTTATATGTGTTAGTTTTCAATCCTTGATAGAAATAATAAATTTTTCACAAATTGTTTTGAAACTCATAGTTGGTATGACTAATTCTACCAAATATTGTAGAAGTTGCATTAGTTATCCAACACTATACTCATAGTTTTGAATAACTAATACTTATATAGATTTGAATAACTAAGGCAAAATGCATAAATCACTGTTTCTGAAACTTTTTATAGTGTCGCTAATACTTTTATAATAAATAGCACAACGCAAATTCTCGTAGGAGTTTACGTTTTGACCAGAAAATCCTACTTGCTAATTTCATGTCAATGATATAAATTAATATAAAACTTAAATATCTAATTATATTATAATGGTCTATCATTGGTCCTATTGATTATTCAACTTTGATCAATCTTTAGAATTTTTTAACATTATATACATATACACATAAATAATGTTAGTGAATAAACATATTTCACTGTTTTAGATGTTCAATGAACGTTGAAGAAGAGGTAGAGATCCAGAGTGACTCTGATGATATTAGCATCACTTCAGCCGATTCTCAAACAAGTTCATTGACGCAGACAAAAATCACAGGAGCATTTCGAAGCAGCAGGTATTTGGAAGAAAGGAGTGAGAAAATCACATGATTACTTGCTGAAATGATTTCAACAGATTTGCTACCACTGAGCTTTGTGCATTGAAAGGATTCCAGAAATTTATGAAATTTCTCGAACCTACATAAAAAATTTCATCAAGAAGTACTGCCTTGAGTCGAGTAAAATTATTATATGACAACAAGACCAGTGAAGTTAAGAATTTGTTGTCTGAAGCAAAAAATGTGTCAATCACAAGTGATATGTGGACATCAACGTCAGCAAATTCGTATATGACTATTAACGGTCATGTAATAGACAGTACATGGAAGTATAACAACATGACATTATCCACAGTCGAAGTTTCTGAGAAGCATACTTCAGAAAATTGAAAAAGTAAATTGACTGAACTGTTGTTCATGACAATGCTGCAAATATTAAAGGGCTGTTTTGAAGAACAGAAACTTGTTTGGTAATAGCATACCCTGTTTTGCACATACCCTACAACTTTAATCCAGCATTAATAAGGCCTTTTCAAATGGTAATATTCATGATATTGTAAAGAAAGCTGGAAATGTGTTAAGTATTTTTCATCATTCTAGCTTGGCCAATTATAGTTTAAAAGAAAAGCAAGAGCAAGCTGGTACTTATTTCAAAAGGTCTTAAGATCACTGCCAGCATTCCTATTATCGCCCATTCATGCTCAGCAATTTGTCACAGAGCGATCATTGAGAACAGATGAAATTGCTGGTCGTTGTTTTAGCAGTCTTTTAAGCATTTGGTAAGTGCTGTTCCACTTTGTGATGTTTTTATTTATTAACTTATGTACTGGCAGTTGAGCAACTTCAACTGCCAGTACATAAGTTAAAGCTCATTTCCATCTCGGTGGTTATGTTAATAAATTGTCGCATCTGGGGCACAGAAAACCCGCACGTCGTCGTAGAGAAAGCCACTGCGCCCACGAGTGACTGATGTGAATTGGCCACCAAGAAGCTGCGATTTGACGCTATTGGATTATTATCTTTGGGGAGCGGTTATGCCAACGATCCAGAAACAATTCAAGACCTCAAGACCGAAATTCAAGCTGCTATTTCTGAGATAATGCCCGAAACAATCGAAAATGTACTCAAAAATTGGGTGGATCGAATGGAGTACTGCCAAGTCAGCCGCAGTATCATTTGTTTAGATGATTTATGTTTTAATTGTCAAATTTTGTATAAAATAATTTTGGTATGTCTAATAATTTATAAAACTGGTTTGCTGAATGATGAGATAGCAAAATAGCTCGAAACGTATTAAAAAAGATTTATATTTACGTTCTGTTTTTATTTTTCGATTTGTGGCTGAAAAACCTTATCATATTATTATGTTTCAAAGTCGAAATAAACAATACCAAGATATATATATATATATATATATATATATATATATATATATATATATACTCGTACATATATATGTTTCAATGTATATTAAATTTTTACGTTAGAGTCTGTAGGACAAGAATATGCTAAGGAGGCTGAAACAAATTCAGTCTCAGAATCAAATCCAGCTTCATCAACCCATGCTTCAGGTAATAAGTATAGATTATCGCAAGAGGCGAATACTTTTAAATAATTTTAAATATTACTGAATTGAAAAAAAGCAGCAGAGAAGAAAGTACAGACTATGACCAAACAAAAATAATCCCGCACGATCTACAAATTAATATCAACAAATGGCAGAAATAGACCTATTCTTATAGAAACACCTTCGCCCTTTACTGCAACTACACTAGTGAGATACGAGTTACTTGAAAATATAAATTTCAAGCACGGTCAGGCCAAGTCATCTTAAAAATTGCGCAAAGAATTAAATCAGCGACAGAGAATGGTGAAATAAATAAAATAATTAAATATATTAACCAGGTGTGCCTAGAATTCATTTTATGCGCAAATTCAAGAGCAAACAAAATAGACTTATTTTGGTTTGCTACCAAAACACAGGAGTATTCGGAGAAAAGTTACCTACAGTATCTTACGACTTGGAGCAGTTTATATGATATCTTATGTGTTATCGAATATGGGCTTAAATGCAGTACAACAGATGGAGAAATAATAATACTTTTAAAATATATAGATGTGGCAGAGATAGCATTGATGATAAGAGTGAAAGGGGTAGAGGTGTATTTATAGCAGTAAAAAGATACGCAATGAATTTTAAGTTACTAAGTAGTATTCAGCAAAACGAATGTACCAGACTGATCTATGAAGAATTTGCCTCTCTGAACTGCCAGTAACTGAACCATATTTCAAACTTCAATGGTATGTTTCTATACCAGCAGATTTCTAATTCGGCTGCGTGTCCGACAAGAAGGGTCTCGGCGAAGTTTTTAAATGTCGGTTTAGTATGTTCAGTGAGTGTTGTGAATTGTGCGTCGAAGCTACGATTCTATGCGAGTTACAACAATTTAGTAATCCAGACGAGATGTTGCAGACTCGATTCAATCAATTTCACAGGAGAAATTAAAACTGATACAGTTTAATTTACAAGAGAAATTGGACCGGATGCAGCACAGTTTACAGCAGGAAACCCCTCACTCTTGATGATGATATTGAAATGAACCAATCTGGATCAACGGGTGGTGAGGTTCTACTGTGCAAGGGACATCATTATGCGCACGAGTTGCCACAGATGACTGATATTGAATATGTAACAAGAAAGTCCAAGAACATGAAAAACTAATATTATTCAATAATTATACGTATTCATGGAAAACGACATACAATATTAGATCTTATTGGCGATGTAGCAGTCTGAAAAGTTTAAGATGCCGAACAAGAATAATATCCTAAATAGTTTCAGCCACAGTTTATGTTATAAGATTATTATTTCAATATTTTGTAATTTTATTTTGTTAATATTCTATTCATTATTTACATTTATATTTTTGTTTTCAGGTTCATTTTTTTTATTTTTTGTAAACCGCAACAATTTTGTATTATAATAAACCTTTTTTTGTAAACCTCAACAATTTTGTAATTTGATAAAGTTTTGATTGAAAAAAAAACATCGGTGAGTCGTAAAAGGGAATAGAATATGGACAGGTAAAGATTGCATCAACTGTTTGAAAATGAGGATAAACGCTTTACCAGCAAGAAGGGGGACATGGGTCGAAGCCACAAATTCAGAATCGACAGACAACGCAGTCGTGAACTATATCAAAAGAGCCTTAGAGAAAAACCATTCTCAAGTATACTCCGAGCCAATATCCAAAGTCTAGTCAAGGAAATGGAAAGCCAGAACTGATATCTGTTCAAGACAACGGGGCCCTTCTCCTAGACGCCCAAGTTGTCGGGGGCTCCACAGATATGGGAGCAGCACACAAACGCAAAATACATTACTATCAGGATTTGGTCGAGACAATAAAACTGAGATATACCACGACTGACGTTAAAGTTATCACGATAACCCTAAACAATACAGTGGTACGGAATGAAACATCTAGTACAAGAAAAAATTCTTGAAAAAAGAGATGAATTTAAAATAATTTTAACCAGAGTTCTAATAGGCGGGCTGATGGGGTTTGGTAGGTGGTCGAAATGTACTAGTTATCGACGTACAAGAAAAGGTATCGGGCGGACTAAATGACTCACGCCAGATACTAAGTGTGCTGCCTGCGCATAACAACCATCAAGCATAATGGTTTATAATAATTCGGAGGCTACAATAAGAAATTCGTTTCCTTTACCTAATATTTTAGAAATTTTAGACCGCTTAGGCAATTCCAAATTTTTTTCGACCATTGATTTGGCTTCTGGTTTTCGCCAAATACCAATAAGCAAGAATGGTAAGTTTAAAACTGCTTTTTTGACTCAATGCTCCCATATTCATTTTAAACGTATGCCATATGGTTTAAAAAATATCCAGCAACATTTCAACGGTTGATGAATTCTGTCTTGTTTGGGCTACAAGGAAGAAAATTTTTTATCTACTTAGACAATATTGCTATTTACTCAAATACTCTTGAGAAACATTTTAAAAGATTAAGTGGCATAAAGCCCGATAATTCAAACATTGATGCAGTC